GTATGTTTATACATATTTATACATATTCATGCATGAAAAATTTTTTACCAGATAGATTCCACTATAAATATAGCAAAACTATCGAAGGCTTTTTTTCTTTCGGTATGTATGGCTAAATTAGCTCATGAAGAAAAAAGATGAAACAAATATATTTCGGTGTATAAATAACACAGCTGAAAAACATTCATTTCTTACATTATTTACATTTCTTACATTTCTTACATTTCTTACATTTCTTACATGATTTCCTGATTTCAAAGTTCAAAATGCAAGAACAAGATTCTTAAACTATGATCATAGTAAGAGTATATTATTTACGACATATTTACATCAGACATGTTTTTATCTAGAATTATTTGTTTTGTTCTATGTACAATTATCTCTCAAAGGAATTTACTAATAAGAACATGAATTTAATATTTATCTGTGATAAAAATTAAAATATGATTCTATTCGGTGGTCCTCGTTTCTTTAAACATATAAATATCTTTATAATATAAAACATGATTTTAAAAATCATATAATTCTTTTTGGATGAGTCATCCTCCGTGGATGTATTAGCCACCAGAAATATCTATCCATTATGTTTCTCAACACGCTTTGTGAACGTAGAGACGCACCAATGTATCTTTTATCGACAGTTTCGCAATATAGATGTATCTACTTAGTTCCATGTCATTAAAACGGACGTTGGTGCGCTAGTGTACGGGGGTTCTATGTCCCATATCTTGTGTAATTCTTGTTTTCTTCTTGTCCTTATTTTACGTATGTTTTATCGTGAAAGAAAAGAGTTGCTTAAAATCTGATCGAAATCAAATATGCCATTAAACTTTTTACTTCGGGAAAGAATTAATAAGATTTATTTTTTTCCGCTTTCATATCACTCCGGTCAGGGTATCGATCATATAACTTTTTCTTTAGAGTGAAAACGTGAAAAGTGAAAAATTTTATAATGTTTGTATATATCTACATACATACATATATACATTTTCACTTTCCACGTTTCCGCTCTAGAGAAAAAGTTACATGGTTAATACCCAGAATTCAATGATGTATACATGTATTTATCCCTACCTTTTTTACGTTGAACTTTGTACTTTAAACCTGCACAGTGGTAAACAATTGATCACTATTTTTTCTCTTTTGCTATCATTTCCACACTATAATTATCGCACTATCATTGATTTCATTAAAGTGAAAACAACTACGACTGCGAATATCATTCTTTGAATCTGTCTGAAAAAGAATATTATTGATACACCATGATGCTCAAGAAGGTAAGTGACAATAAAATACCAATCATTCAAATTTGCTTGATCATTGAAATCACACATTATACCATTTCTTCAACTTTTTTATGTTCCATGATAGCTACACTGTTATGTTACTCGGATTAATTATTCATTTCTACATCTTGAAATTAAGAATTTTTTCAGGTATTTAATCCAAGATTGTACCAAAACGTGGTACGATCCTTCTCAGCAACTGCTGAATCTACGCAAGGATATAATTTTGGTTGGTATATTTATGTCTTACAAAATATAGAATATATGAAGATCTATATTGTTAGATAAATAACCAGAATATAAGAGTAGAATCTTAAAGAAACAAAAAAGATTTATACGTTTATATATGTGTATATATATATATATATATCTCTAATAACACATTTTATTCGGAATACATCCTAGGGAAGTCCTCAGGACGTCCCGTGGAGGATTGTGCTGTTAGGGATACGTATATATATGCAGAAATATTCTTATTTATATAAACTTGATGTATGTAAATAATATGTCTCGGACCAGACAAGTTGAATTAAATGTATCAAGAAATAGGAGAAAGCACCATTATTATCTGATTACCGTTTCATATTATTTACACTTTTATAAACAAAATTGTTCAAAGTATTTCTGGAGTAAGACTTTAAAAAATTTGAATACTTCAAGAGAAAGGTGAAATTTTTTACATATAATTTTTTACACTGCAATTTGCATATCTTTACATATTACATATATTACCTGGTTTTAAAATATGGTTATTACTGTCTCATTGAATTATTTTAGAATTATCAGATACTCAAAAGGAAATACAAGAGCTAGCGCGGAAGTTTACAAAAGAAGAGATTATTCCAGTAGCTGCAGAGTACGATCGAACTGGAAAATATCCATGGGACATTATTAAAAAGGCGTGGAGTATTGGTCTTCTGAATAAACATATTCCACAACATTGTGGTATGCTTAATTTATCAGAATTATATTATATACACATATTTTACTATAAACTATTATAATAACTATTATAATAAACTATTATAATAACATTGCTAAAAAATAATATTATTGATGTAAAAATAAGATTGATAATAATTATAATCTATTCTAGGTGGTATGGAAGCTAATATTTTTGATTCATGCTTGGTTACGGAAGAATTGGCTTATGGTTGTACAGGAATAGTAACTGCAATAGAAACCACAAGTCTTGGAGTAAGTTTATCAACAGTATTCACTTCTAGATCATACAACATTCTAATTCTTTCAGCAAATTAAAAATTAATTTTTCTTTAATTTTATTAATTTCCAATTCTTCTAAAATTATATATTTTAATTTATTTAATGTAGTAATCATACATATATATATATATGTATATGCATCTTTATATTCAGCAAACTCCAGTTATCATAGCTGGAACGAAAGAACAGCAAAAGAAATATCTTGGAAGACTTGTAGAAGAACCACATGTTGCGGTAAATCTGAAATTAAACTTATCAAATTAGTTAAATTAATGTTGCATAAATTGAATAATATTATTTATAGGCATATTGCGTTACTGAACCTGGTGCAGGATCTGATGTAGCAGGTATTAAGACCAAAGCTGAGAAGAAAGGAAAAGAGTGGATAATTAATGGCACCAAGATGTGGATCACAAATGGTGGTGTTGCCAACTGGTATGAGACAATGTGCTTTATTGTTTAGTATTAACTTTTAAAGGATATCACTTACACTTTTAATAACACAACTTCTTATTGTACAGGTATTTTGTTTTAACGAGAACAAATCCAGATCCAAAAGCTCCAGCTAATAAAGCTTTTACAGGTTTTATTGTGGAACGTAATAGTGATGGCTTAACTCCCGGTCGTAAGGTAATTCTTGATGATAATTTTTTATTGTTATCCTATTTAATCGTTAACTTAAATTTGTACTAATTTATACTAATTTTATTTTCATATGTTAAGGAAATGAATATGGGACAAAGAGCAAGCGACACGCGAATGATAACATTTGAAGATGTTCGCGTTCCCGAAGAAAATGTATTGCTTGGAGAAGGACAAGGTTTTAAGATAGCTATGAAGACTTTTACAAGAACCCGGTCACCGGTAATATTCCATTAAATTTATCCATTAGGTGCCAAATATAGATCACAAGTATATTTTTACATTTAACATTTTTGCAGGTAGCGGCAGCAGCTACTGGTTTAGCTCAGAGAGCTTTAGACGAAGCAACAAAATATGCACTGGAACGCAAAACATTTGGTAAACCAATAGCAGAACATCAAGTAATAGCTTTCATGTTAGCGGATATGACTATTGGTGTTGAGACTTCTAGAATGGCATGGATGAAAGCAGCCTGGGCTGCTGATAAAAATTTACCGAATGCTACAATGCTCGCTAGTATTGCAAAATGTTATTGCAGTGATGTAGCTAATAAATGTGCTACAGACGCTGTACAGGTAAAGTACAATACAATAACTTATATTAATGAATTTTTTATTAAACTATACAGTTAGCAAGAAGATGGAGTTGATTCGATATGTTTTTATAATTTATCGTATGACTTTTTTTTAGGTTTTCGGTGGTGCAGGTTTCAATTCTGAGTATCCAGTAGAAAAGCTTATGCGCGATGCCAAAATTTATCAAATATACGAAGGTACTGCGCAGATTCAAAGGCTGATTATATCACGTGCTCTCTTCGACGAAGCTAAACAAACGAACGACTAAGTAACTGTACGTTGGTTTAAATTGTATCATAAAATTTATTTTTATATTTATTATATATGTAGTATTTTTATAAGCTACAAGATAATTGGGAAGTAACGCGTTATTCATACAAAATATCGTTATCGTTATAATTATTTTTTTAAATAACGACTTGAGATAACGATATTATATTATTTTGTTTTGATTTATATTGATGATAATGTAGTTATATTTTTGGGTAAGTATAACGAATATAAACGTTTTATTTATTTTGTACACGTACGTGTATGAAATGTGCATAAGTGAGTATAAAAGAAAGAGAATTATGTGTTTGACCATATTGAGACTTCAATATCTACTAATCATAGATTTGAGGTAATTATAGGTTTTGTGCTGAATTAGTCAATTAACGACATAGATAATTGGATGCGACTTAAAAAAAAAAACAATCAATTCGGTGAAAAAATAACGAAAATGTAACGATTTGATACTTTTGAAGTAATGACAATGTTAACGAGTTACTTTTTACAATGGATAATCCAGAGATGGTAACAAATTACTTCTTAAAAATAACTTTTAATTATGATGATAAATTTATATGTATATTAATATGTATATATATTTTTTATATTCACACACACACACACACACACACACACACACACACACACACACACACACACACACACACATTACAAATAGAGTCCGATCGAAATTTCGGTTTTGATCAAAATTAAGAGCAAATTTCGGTGGGTAAACCGAAACTGTACAAGTTATAATGCGCCGATGAGCGTTCAAAAAACAACTGTTTGATTTTAGCTATTAACTCGTTGATTAAGCTTAAAACAATTTGAGTACAAACTTTGATATGATCCTAATAATAACTGTAGTTTGATTTCTTTAAAAGTTGAGGATGCAGTATTATTATATTATTACACACAGTTCGATAATTTAATAAAATCTTATTAAAAATATACTAAAAATAAAGGTATAACTATAAAAATATACCATATATAATTCTGCCATTTACAAAATCAATAAAAAATATCTTTCTCTTAAAATTATCAACACTAAAAAAATTATAATTAATCTAACCTCATAAGATAAAATCTGTGAAACCGAACGCACAGCCCCCATTAATAAATATAAAGAATTAGATGATTACCCCATAAATATAATTATATACCCCATAATTGTTAAAATGATAATTATAAATAATAACGAATAATTTAAATAATAAAGATTATAATATACCCATATAATAATCAATTGACTATTATTAACATAAATAAAATAATTGGAGTAATATAATATATTAAATAGATTTATAAACTATAAATACATTTTTTCTAAACAATTTAATAGCATCTTTGAAAGGCTGAAACACCCCCCTAACTCCTACCTTATTGGGTCCCTTACGATCCTGAGTGTATCCTAAAAATCTTTCGCTCTAATAATGTTACAAATGCCACCCTAACTAATATATAAATTTCTAAAATAATTTAATTAAATTTAATAATACATAATTTAAATATGTTAAAAATATTACTTATGTAATATCTCTCTCTTTTATTCTTATATTTAATATTAAAGAGCACATAAATTCACCACAATTTCTGAAAATCATATACGGTCACTATAGAATTAATCGAAAAATGTCGATTTCAATTCCGGCCGAAAAAAGTGACTCCGTTAGCTTCTCTTTTTTTTTTAAATAAGACTTATCTAAGTTTTGGTTTCGACTGGAGGTTAGGTCAAAATGTGATTTCGGCTGGACTCTAAAAACAGAAGCCTTATTGGGTCACAGCAGATAATTAATAGTATTTTAGATGTATATATTGAATTTTTGTACACATTGTGTAAATGTTTTACGAATGTTTAGAAAGTTGAAATATATTAAAAAATTTTCCCGATTTAATTCAGAAAAGTACAATAAAGTCCACCTTAATAAAAAATACCGTAAAAATTATCAAAGACTTAAGAAAAAAACATATAATACGAGACGTAAGAAAGTTGCAATTTTAATTTTTGACATATATATCTGATATATTATCTAATTTCGTATGTACGTATTTACATTTTCTGAAATTCGCGAAAGGACATCATTTTTTAGATATTAAATGATTCTCAATAATTTAATATTTAAAAAATAAAGTCCTCAAAAAGACTACAATTTACGAAAAGTTTTTCTTTTTATTTTAGAGAACTCGATAATGCGAGTTTTTAATGTGTTCAAGACGTTTGTATATTCTAACGACAAGGCGACGAAAAGAAATCCATTTGAGCCCTTCGAATCGAAATAAATCGAAGACTCCGCCCAAATCCGCGCGTTTTTGTAGTGAGCATAAAACATAGACTACACAATCCGTGTATACTTACAATTAGTCGACAAAAATGAAAGAGATATGACGCGAAAACGACCAGTCTCTGTCTCTTTCTGTTCAACAGTGCAATGTTGATAGAAAGAGAGGGAGATTGTCCGTTTTCAAGCCCTCTTTCTCTCTTATTTTTGTTGATGACATTAGATATACTATTTAGATACGGATGGCACGGTTCATGTTCCGTGTCTTTGATCATGAGTGACTGCCGATTTGAAACGGGCGCCCGGCGCGGTTTCGCGACAGGCGGCGCTCGTCGCGCCGCGACGAGGAGTGCGTTAGTCAAGTGCATTGTTGATTGAAAACGTATTACGGCCGCATTATGTCCGTCGGACCGTAGCCTTTTTCACGCGGTTTTACTCGGTGAAGTCGCGCGTGACGAGTTATGCAACGTACGCCGCGTAAGGGCGGCCCGCGCCGGGCGATCGGACACCGCGGCAGCTGACCTACTTAGAGCTCGGCCTATCATCGTCGTACCTCACGACGCGGCGGCGAATCGTGTCGCCGAGCACGCGAAAGGAGAGGTTCGTCACAAATCCCCCGGTGGTTCGTTGGAACGGTCGAAAAAGCCGGCTTAGCCGACTTAGCCGGCCCGCACCGCGGAACGACGCGGAACGACGCGGAACGACGCGGTCGCGATTGCGGCCCGTCGGCGGCGAAGGAAGCGGGGCCGGGGACGGCACCTTTTGGAAATTGCGTCTTTCCGCCCGCGACGGAGCTCGCCGATGAGGCGCAGGGCCGTAACCGCCGGCACGAAGGTACCGGCCCACCGACTCTGCACCGACCGAGCCGGCATGTAACTCGGCATGTCAATTTGAATTCTCTTTCTCCCTTTTCTACTCTCTTCTCACCTTCCTCCGTCTCTTATCTCTTCGTACTTCGGAAGCGACGGAAAACTGTTTTTGTCTCGGTAGCCGGTGGCGAGCGAGAAAGCGTCAAGCGGACGCCGGCCTAACTCACTAACTATTCATGTGCACGCTCGCGATTACGCTGTTTTCCCTTTCGTTCGGCCACTGCCGTACACACAATCACACGAACGTTCAGCGTAACCGGTTGGGCGGGGGAGACGCCAACTAGACGGCGATACGAATCGGAGCGACACGCAAAGATCGTCACACGCACACGACCCTGACCCTCGCGCTTTATCGCAAACGATGATCTTCGGAGCAATTTCTGCGTGAATTTGAGGTCGCGCGGTTATGACATTATAGAACATTGTAGACTGGAGGAACTCATTTCCCGCGGTCGCGTCGCGCGAATTGAGATTCCGAGTCGCGACGAGTTGATCCGTTGGCAAAGGAGGCGAATTTTCGTTCGTTGCTAGGAGGATGAAAAAAAGAAATAGGAGAAGGAAAAGATCGGCGAATGAAAGAAAAAAAAATGCGAACGTATGGCGGGCGGCGTGCGGCCGGTACGGTCCTGACGGCTCTCGTGCTGTCAGTGCGCGACAGTGCGCCGGACGCTCGCTTGACTTAGGGAGTGCCCGTGCCGATGCAAAGTGTAAGTGAAGTGGCCTACAGACCTACATTTGTCTAACGTTCCATTTTTTCACGGGCCGACGGGAACGGGAGGTTAACGAATACCGCGCGCGTTATTTCCGCTCTTTTCTTCGGTAAAACGTGGCGTGTGCGTGTACCTGCGATGCCGCCGTCCCGTGATATACCAACGTTCGACTGACGAGACGGACGAGAGAAAGAGTAAGAGAGAGAGAGAGAGACAGAGAGAAAGAGAGAGACTGAGAGAAATAGGTAGATAAGTAGACAAAGACAGAGAGAACGACCGGGAACGAGCGAGCGAGCGAGCGAGTTAGCGTGGCGGTGCAGTTTCGGTACGTCTCGGACACTGCGCTCTGACCAGCGTGTAGTCGTGAAAGGAGAGAGAGAGAGAGAGAAAGAGAGAGAGTGAGAGGGGGTGACAACTCGTGAGCGTGCGCGAGAGTGACGGAGAAGAGTGGCAGAGGCGTGAGAGTGAGAGAGTATGATAGGAGAGCGCACGAGAGCGAAAGCGAGTGTACGAGACGTCGGCGCGAGGGAGGGCGGGCGAGAGTAAAAGATAGAAAGAGAGAGTGAGCGTGGAAAAAGAGGGAACGGGAACGGAGCGCACGTTACCGCGAGGAGAGAAAGAGAAAGAGAAAGAGAAGGAGAGAACGAGAGTGAGAGAAAGAGAGCGCAAAAGGGAGTACGTAAAAGAGTGTAGGTGTTCTTCCGAGGAGAAGTGCGTGCGCTCACGGGAACAACGTGCAAGAGAAGTGGAGGGAATCCTGTCTGTCCGTTTGTCTATCTGTCCGTCTATCCGCCGGGACACGCGAGGCCCGGAATGGCTGCGAGGACAGGGGAGGGCGAGGGTGAGAGCCCCGCGACAGTCTTCGACAACAATGCCGGCATCGTGACGACGGCGGGTTCCCTCGCGGAATCATCCACGTCGTCTTCGTCCTCCTCCTCCGCTACCGCAGGCGCCGTCGCCGCCACGGTGCCAACAACGGTGATCCTGACTGAGAGTACCGCTACGAGCGCCGGTAGTCTGCCCTTGGGATCTCAACAACAAGACAACCTGCATCAAGTACATCAACAACAACAACAACAACAGTCGCGACAGAGAATCAACCTGATTGCCGATGTACCCGTCAATGATGTCGCAGGTAACCTCAATGACTCTCGCTCTTCAAGTCTTTGTTGTCGCTAATGTGCCGCTTGCCAACCCCTCTTCCCCCTCCCCCTCCCCCTCCCCTTCTCCATTCTCTTTCCTAGCTTCGCTCTCACGTTTCTCGTTTCTTTCTTTCACTCCGTCTCTCCTGTCTCTCTTCTTCTCTTTCTTCTCCTCCCCTCCTCCTCCTCGTGCCTCGAATCCTCTGTCGTCTGTTGCATCGCGCGCGCGCGCGCATTGATGCCGCGTGGATTCTCGAGCCACTTCCGAATTAGCGGGACTCTTTGTTTTCATCGACATAGGCTACAGAGAATGAAAGCTGAGATTGAGATAGTTTCCTCGAGAATAACTAAAACTCGAGAGAACTAAAAGCAGAACTAGAAACGAGACTTAATATAATAAAAAGAAATAAATTTTAAGTTATATAAAACGACAGGGTATTGAAGAGCCAATCACAGAACTTGTTGCATAAATTAATTACATTCTATCAATAATCACATAGAGTTGTTTTATTCAAATCTAATCTCGTAAATTCAAACTGTTGACATGTTTCGGCTACTTGTTCGAGAAAACTTGTCTTCAGAAAAGCGATAAAGTTACTTATAAATAAGACTTCTCAAAGTAAAGCGCTTTTTGGTAAGCTCCTCCCAGAATAATTAGAGCTGCACACATGACGTTGAAAGACCGTGTGGAAAATCTGGTTGTGCTGACAAATGGAAATTTAAGAAAAGTAAATTTGTGCTACAATTTTCTTAACGTGCACTTGCTCGCGTGCGATACGATTCCCGCCCAAGTGCGTTTGATCGCAATCACTGTCACGTGGACCGAGAGCTCGCGGAGAGCCCGCGTAGAGACAACGGCTCCGCGTTCCTGATTTAGTGCCGACTTTTGCGTAGCGATGTGTAGTGGCGCAACAGACGTCCACAGCGAAATTCCGAAGTCGAGTCGCGCGCGAAGTCTCTCTGTCCGTCCGTCTGTCATCGTCTCGAATTTA